ATTATAAAACACAGCTTCTTACAACTGCAGTTATTTGCTCATTGAGTAGTTATCAATAATAAATGATACTCTTGCATATTCATTTTCTGAAATCCTCTCATTGGACTCCCAGCAGCAATTGGCTCATTTCCACCTGACTGTTGCATTAATGGTTCAGCACTGCAGACCTGATGAATATAAAGTAAATACTAATACAAATCACTAAACAGGTTCCTTTATGCCAAGGGAAGGGTTGCCTTTCTTAATATAAGCTGCTGTTTTTCACCACCCAAAGCACCCAAAATACTTTATAGCCTGGTTCTAATATTTGTATATATTATTCCAATAAAAGAAACCACATTATTTAGTGTTTCCTTTGTGCTTTAAAAAATAAATAGACCTGCATCACAACAACATAACATGGAAACAAAGATACCAGCTGTCATTGGGGTTACAGTATATCCTCTCTTTATATTGAATTAAAGTGTCTAATATCTGTTTGCCAATGCTTTTTGTGTTATTGTGACTACATTGCTGTTTCTTCAGTTGCTATAACACACTCTTCCCTCCCCCCCTGCAGGTCTATTGTTGGACCTGGTGCTGGTCACCATCGTTAAGGCAGTGGTGCGCCGGCGTCGACCAGCCCATAACCGCATGGACATGTTTGCCACCTTTTCTGTGGACCGATTCTCCTTCCCATCAGGCCATGCCACGCGTGCCGCCATGTGTGGGCGCTTCCTGCTGGCTCACCTGGTGCTGGCCGCCCCTCTGAGGTTCCTCGTCGTGCTGTGGGCCGCCCTGGTGGGGCTGAGCCGGGTGTTGCTAGGCAGGCACAATGTGACTGACGTGATGTTTGGGTTCTGGATGGGATATATCCAGTACAACCTTATAGAGATGCTGTGGCTCTCACCTCAAACCCTGCAAGGCCTGCTGGGACAGTTGGCCTAATGCTAAGGATTGAAGGAGGAGACATGGTGCTTTGATTCTTCATTGCCAGAGCACCTGCACACTTTTTGTCTTTTTCAGACTGATGCATAAGAGAAATTGTCTTGACAAGAGAAGCGTGCTATCAAACACACCTTTGATTTGCTGTTCTCTGACACTTCAGAAGCTCACTGTCAGCCATCCCTTTTCAGGTTGCAATGCCTGTAATGGAAAGTACAGGATTTTAAACCAGAAAAGCAAGAGAGACGGATGAGTCCAGATGACCAGATGACCACCTGAGGCCACCTTTCTCCCCTTAATTGGCCTGATTCAGTGGAAATGATGTACTGAAAGCATGCTTTTGTTTCTAAGGGAGTTTTAATCTAAATCTGATGTTTCCCTTTGCGGATCTGACTTAAGATCTACCCTATAAAGAACACCATAGAAAAGAGGTTAAACAATAATATGAATCCCTGCTTTGGAAAAATAATGGCAATATACTTTTTACATCAACCAATCTTCTTTTAAATGAATACTGAAGCAAACGGCAATAAGAAGTCAAAATGGATTAAAAACTGCAATATACAAGTAAATGATGAATCAGTGGGAAAGTATCCTAACTGATCCATAAGCCCTGTCACTGAGCCACAGCAGTTTTCAATCTGCGCACAAACTGCAAGAAAAACATTTTTTGTTAACATATATTTCACAGTGTGCAAACGGGCGTAAAGCCCCTACTGTTATCGCTCCAATGTAAGGCCCTCTGCCCTCACCTCTTTCTCCAGGACAATGATGTAATGGCGCATTTCCACCATGGCGCATTTCCACCACGGCGCATTTCCACCATGGCGCGGAGCGCGGTTTAAGCGTGTCGTGCCGGGCCCGTTTTTGGTTGCGTTTCCACTATGCCTAGTTCCGGCCCGGGGCTACTTTTTCACCTTTTTTCTGGCCCGACAAAATCGTGGTTCAATCGGGGCCAACAAACAGGGCTGAGTCGGGCTGAGTTTGCTAAACTAGAGAGAGAATCGCTGGCAAGGGGGCTACAACTACAACAAGATGAACATATTTGACCGTGATTTAATTGTAATACACGTTTCAAAATGATGCCGAAGTAACAACATACTGATACCGGTTAGTAAAAACCATGAATTAATGCTTTGTCAAGTCTGCAGACAGACGGCAGGCGAAAAACCTTTTAAAATGCACGTTGTCTAAATGGAGATCGGCTAAGCTAACGCAATATATGCTCCGACCGTCCACACTCACAACAACGGCCTATACAGACATAAATAAACCAGCGACTGTATTCTCCATGACACAGACAGTTTGTGGTGTGTACTTGTTTAACTTTTGTCTAGTTTCTGAACAGATATGAGGAGCTGTGAGCTCTGAGTGCTAACAGCTAACGGCTGATGTTGTTTTTCTGGGGTGCTCATTGAAGATGACGTCACGGCTCCGCCTACACTGCGTTACTATAGAGATACTACCCCAGTTCCTAAACTGTAATGGAAGCGCAGCATTAACGTGAGCTGGGCCTTACAAGGCCTAACGAAACCGTACTAAGTCGAGCGAGGCCTGCGGTGGAAATGCGCCATAAGATGGTAGAGCTAATCTTAAAATGAGCCATATCATTTCCACACTCAGCAGTTTACAGTTAATGATCTTGTTCACCTCCAGCCAAGCTCAACTTTGCCACAAAGCCAACTAAACTTTGATTTCCCCTTTATATGACATCTGATAGGATCACTTTAATCTCACCAGTTTACTGATTGACTCTCTTATTCCTCTGAAAGTTTCCTTGTATCACTAACCTCATCCAAAGCATATCACGTATTGCTGTTTACTAATCAACTCTGCTGGATCACATACACAAATGACCATATGATACACATTAACATTATTACATGATTACGTTTCTCGGAGTATACAGTAATATTACAAATGTATCTGCGCCAAATCCTTATTTTTTTTTAATCAAAAATGATAACATTCAGTTAGATATTTTGAAAAACAATCCACCAGAATGTGTAACTTCGTACGTCATCAGTGTCCCAGCAGCACCGTGGCAGCACATAGTTTTATATTAGCAACCAGTTAGAGTGAGCCAGGGTGTTAAACTGGCTGTGCGATTACCTGGTCTGCTGTCAGCGTTCACAGTTTAAAGGGTTTTTAAACCCCTTCATTATGAAAGGATGATTGAAACTACAGCGTATACATATAGGGTGCCTTGCCATTGATCATTTGAATATCAGTTCTCTGCAACACACTGTCATATCTAAGTTTTGTGAAAATCACTGTGACTACATTGGTCAGCATCTTCTTACATGGTTTGTAAATCCTTACATTGATGTGTTGACCCTGTCTGCTCTTTAGTACGTGCTGTTAACAAAGAAACAGCATGTTGGATGATTAAATGATATGAACACTATGGTTCACTGAAAGCAGATTGAATTAACTCAATATGAACTTTAACCCTCCTGTTATCCTCAGATTGACTTTACACCCTTTATCCTCTGGGGTCAATTCGACCCCAGTAGTTTAAAACTCAAGACAATGATCATATTCCAAATGTTAACCAAAATGTATGTCTCTGATGCTTTAGGTGTCTTAGTAAACTACCTAAATAACCATTTAAATCAAACATTACCCCAACCTTCCCCCCTTCAGACCCCTTTATATATCCAGAATTCCTATTATGTGACTATCGACAAATATATAAATCACCATAAAATCTCACTGATTGAAATAAAATGTTAAAGTAAGTTCTTTTTGATGTTGTTAAAGGACCAATAGAGGGTAGTTTTGTTTTACAATGATATATTTGCATGTAATAGTCACCTCAATATCATCCTACACAATCAACACAAATGTGTAAAATATTGACATTTTTATATGTTTTATACTACAAAAACATGTGTGAACAATGTGAACCATTTTTTTTAGATACGTTAAACATTGAATGGGGTCAAATTGACCCCAAGGATAAACAGGAGGGTTGAATGACGCCAGTGGTCATGTTGTTCACAGAAACCGCTGACCTATTAACTGATTTGTCCCCTTACTTGCCAGCAGTCTTTACCCGATCTGAAGGAAAATATATCCTTATTAGGCCGATTTTGTTTAAGTTTAAGCAATATTTTGCTTATCAGTCTCCTCCTGACCTTTGCTGCTGCGTTGGTGTCAGAATACAGCAAAGATATTTAACGTCAAACTGCTGTTTTTTTGGTCTGTTGTAATTTTCCGTTGGTTAGGACTACATGAGATATGTGGAAATGTGATTTCTGTGTAAATGTGTGATGAATGAACTGTTGTTGAATCATTTTTGCGAACATAATTTGACCTGGTATGCAGGTGACCCAGACCTTCATCTTACATGCTGTGTTCTTCCTGCAATAATTGACCAATGATCTTCCCAGTGTGGACGAGAACATGATGCGCGCGAGGAGGTAGCGCTTTCTTTTTATTTCTTTAGCCTTCTTTAACAAATATAATAGGCTGGATGGTGGACTTTGTGACCAAATGATTTATGATTTATTTCTGGGTTTTACATGTTGATATCGAGGTGATGCAGTATAAGAAAAATATGTTCATCACAATGATTACTAAATAGATTTTGCACATTCCACATCAAACCTATTTATTTCGACATCAATCTGTTTGTTCAGCTTCTTGAAGAATCAACAAATGTCACATGAGTTTTTGCACATAGTCAAACATGAAGTCAGCTACAGTTTAATTCACTGCACTGCGTTTTGCCTGCTATACAGTATAAATTATATTGTGTGTTTCCTGTATAGACCTTAATCTTAATGTATATAATTATGCCTGTATGGTCACGTGATTACACTGTGTTATGTTTGGTGCATTTTAATGTGCTGCTGAGTAATCCCTGAGGGGTTGTACTTGAATGATTTGATTGTAATGATTTTTAATAAAAAAATGGGGATCAAATCTGAAACTGTCATGACTCATGACTGACGGATGGACAGACAGGCAGACAATCGTTGTTACTCAGTTACATTAGCACTCTTCCAAATTCAGTACACAAAATGAAATTGTCAACCCACTGGATTTACGTAACAATTTAACTCAAAAGTGGGCTGGATTAAAGAAATCCTAGACCTAGACCATAAGAGACCGCCTCACTATAAAAGAATGTGCTCAGAAGATGCCAAAGAAGAAATCAACTCGTAAGGATTGAGGTAAGAAAGAGACCTGCCACACTCTAGTTCTGCTATATTTTACAGGATCATAGTATTTTGTGTTGCATGTGTTAAAAAACATGCTTATATTTCAGTGAGATTTGTGAAAATTATCAAACTGCAATCTGACTTGTTTTTTTGGCACTCACAATCTCATTTTCATAGCCAAAAATGCACAACTCATTTCATTTAAAATATGTTTAGTGCTTTCAAAGAAGTGTGAGATCTGAAGTTATTTATATTTCTAGCAACTGAGAAAGTGTAATGACACAACCTGGGTTTGAGTAAGTCAATGCATAACAGATCAGTAATAATGACTTTTAAAAGTAAAAATATATTTTCCAAACATTAATCTAATGCACGATTAAATCAAATCAAGTTTTATTTATATAGCACATTTATAAACGATTTTCGGTCGAGCCAAGGGGCTGTACAAATAATAAAAATACCCTACAGTAAAGACATTATACAGCTAATACAACAGCACAGTTTGATCAGAATATCAGTATGAGGAAAAACGACACCCTCTGTCCTTAGTCCCTCACATCGTACAAGGAAAAACTTCCGGAGAAAAACCCACAGTTTAAAGGGAAAAAATGGGAGAAACCTCGGGGAGAGCAACAGAGGAGGGATCCCTCTCCCAGGACGGACGGACGATGCTGTGTGTAAATCGAAGAGATAATACGTTTTACAGCGTAGGTAGACCTAATGTTAGGAAATGCATGTGTCTATAATAAGGAGATGAATCCACGAGGATATCAACAACAATCCCGTGGGAGCCTTCAGGGAAGCAGCATGACGAGAGCCAGGCAGGACCCGAAGTCCACGACTTAATCCAGAACTCAGGATAGAGGATCCAGGGCACAGGACCACAGCAAGAGGATCAGCCTCGACTCCGGATCCCGGCGTCGATATAGACACAAAAGAAGAAACATTTGGCTGGGTTAATCGGAACATGAGAATACATAGACACAGACAGACAGAAGGAAGAACAAGCACTCCCTTAGAATAGGTTGAGGGAAAAGGGTAGCAAGTAAGAGAGTAAGAAACAGAGGTGGAGAGGCACACGCAGGGAACAAAGTCCCCACTGGAGTGGGACCTAGTGCAAACATGACGCATGATCTGATCTGCCTTCTTTTTTCTGTTGTGGCTTGTTTACTCGAACTTGCTGGAACATATGCATAACATTTCAATGTAAACTTGCAAAACAGTTGTGCCAAATTAAAGTCAAATTTGACGTTGCAGCACACCTTCAGATGTCCTGGAGTAGAGCAAGAAAATAGGGTCACTACTAATCCTCCGGTTTATATATTGGTATCTGCTTAACTTTCTCATGGATTAAAATGGGTGGGACTGAATGCTGAACATTTGGAAAGATGACCTTAAATCTGAGTTGAAATATGTGTTTTTTTGCTCTCCTTATTGCAGCTGCATCATGGTCCACAGAGTAGCAGTGATCGGGGCAGGCCCCTGTGGTCTCACCAGCATGAAGGCCTGTCTGGAGGAGGGCATGATGCCAACCTGTTTTGAAAGCAGCAATGACATTGGTGGACTTTGGAGTTTCAAGGCAAGTCAGCACTAGCAAATAATCTTATGTGTATTCCCCAACCCATAGAACTTCCACTGAGTTAAAGTGGACCTATCATGCTATATTTGAATAATATATTGTAGGGCCATACCTATATAAAACATGTCTGTAACGTTTTTTTTTTCAAAATACCAAACAGATCATGCATTTTAGCCATGCCTCATTTCGCTCTATTTGCTGTATTCCAGCCCTGTTTTTGCAAGGGCTGATTCTGTGGCAAATGAGCTGCAGCTCACCACGCCCCCCTCCAAAGGGGCGTCATGTTACCATGCTGTTACCATGCCACGGCAACCTCTCATTCCCCTGATAGGTGGAGAGTTGCCCATATAGGCGGAGCTCCCTGTTTCTGACGTCAGAACAATTTCAAACAAAGGCATTATGACGGGGCGCGCGGCCCCCCCCCCTCCCGAGAGCGGGCCGCGGTGCGTTCAAGGACCTCAGTAGAAAATCCGGCTCTGTGTCAGCCCCCGATGAGCCAATCTTCCTGTTATGGAAGGTGTGGCGGCGGAGTAGGCCACCAGAGAGTACTATAGCTTCTTAGCTGTGGCCCCACAGCTGCTTGCATGTCCCCTGAACATAGTTTTATGGGGAATGGAAGCCCAACTGTGTACTGACAGAGTGGGTGGACGGGGCACTGAGACTGGGTTACTCACTCCAGTTTTGCAGCGTCCCTCCTCCATTCAGGGGCATAAGGTGGTGTGTGTGTGAAAAATGCATTCAGTAAAAACGATTGCATTCATCCCAGAGTAAGAGTCATCTCTCTCCACAATTCCGCTTTTTCCCATAATGTCTCGTTGAGATCGGCAAGGTCGTTTTCATACGATGTTAATTGGGCACCCATTATGAGACACAATTCCCCACTCGCCGCCCCAGTTGTAACTCCAGTATAGGAGGTAGCCAGTGGGCGCGTGCATGTGAGTGTGATTAACCACAGGAAGTGCTGTCAAAGCGCTGTGCGGGTGTGCGGCCCCCGTGACGCAGCGTCCACACGGCGGCGTGCGTTGAAGCTTGCCGTGAGCTTGTCTGAAACTCGACCAACAACCAATCACATGAATCTCCCGCCCCGGACACACAAGGTTTGATTGGCTAGAGCTTGTACTGGCATATGATTTGATTGGCTGACGCTTCCGCCGAAGCTTCAAAAGTTGAACAACAACTTTTGAAGCGAGCAACACGAGCAAAGCGAAGCAACGCTCCCACAATGCAGTTCGGCAAAGCGTGACGAGAGAGGTGACTTGAGAGAGGACTTGAGTCGGTCGGTACGCCGACAGGACACGGGAAGCTGGCATCGACAGGACACGGGGAGCTGGCGTCGGCCGGAGAGCCAACAGGAGACGAGGTGCTGGAGTCGGCCGGTACGCCGACAGGACACTGGGAGCTGGCGTCGGCCGGAGAGCCAACAGGTGACGAGGAGCCGGAGTCGGCACCATGGCTGCTGGGTCCGGTACTTGAGCCGGAACCATGGCTGGAACTGGAGCCGGAACCATGGCTGCTGGGACCGGAACAGAGGCCTGGACCATGGCTGTATGGGCCGGTTCTGGAGCAGGGACCATGGCTGCTGGGGGTGAGGCGAGGCGAGCCAGGCGATTGGTTCAAAACCATCGACCTGAAGGACGATTACTTTCATGTCAAAATTGTTCCAAAGCACAACCCTGTCTCCTAGAAATTACGTTCCCACAAAACTAAACTGCATTCTCAAATACGTTTCGCAAGAAACGTATTTCCTTCCACGTTACGTTTGTTATGAACATATCTTAAATACGTTTATTTTCTACATATCTTCTAGAAACCTATTTTCTCTCATATGACGTTTGTTATGAACGTATCTTAAATACGTTTGCTTTCTACCTATATTTGCCATTTCTTTTCTAGCTTATAATAATGATAATAGTCATTTATTAATATCATTTTAGAGCAAACTTATTTTCGCGCTGGCTGGCGGCTGACTTTTCAGTTGACCAAATCCGTTATTATGCTGGTTAATGCTTAATAATCACAATATTGTTTGTAGTCGTTTCATACAGCATTCTCAATTACGTTTAACAAGAAACGTCTTTTGTCCCACGTTATGTTTGTTCTGAACATATCTTAAATACGTTTGCTTTCTACCTATCTTTGACATGTCTTTTCTAGCTTATAATAATGATAATAGTCATTTATAAATATCATTTCAGAGCACACATTTGAAATCGACGATCTGGCTTGATATCCTATGGTTAAATTAAAATCAGTAGGCGAGGCTGTAATTTCGCCAGCTGCGAGGCAGAAAATAATAGTTTTAACATGCCAAAAAGCTGCTGTGTCGTTTATTGCACCTCAAACATTAAAACAAATCCAGAGTTACGTGTTTCTGTACTTCCTCTAAGAAGAAAGGACAGTATACAACAGAAGAGCTCTGTGGCTTCAGGCTGATCGCCGTTCAAATGACAGCTGGTTTCCCCAAAAGTGGGCAGGGCTGTAAAGTGACGTAGGAAAGATCCTCAGCTCGCTGATTGGATGTTTTAGCCGCAATGCACGTCGGGATATGGTGTTAATGCGATATGAAATCCGAAAAAAAATCAGAATTTAGGATGGCCGAAGACACTACACTACCCATAATCCCCAGCTATCGTTTGGGACTACAGTCCCGTTGACAAACCCCGTGATTAATCTTCAAGCTCTGGGATTGGATGTTGGAGTGGCAGTGCGCCAAGGTTACGCCGAGCGCCAAACAGCTCTTTGAAATGGAACGAAACCACGGCAGACTTTCCAAAACTGGACTCGAACGCCCCCCCAGAACTACAGATGCTGGCTATTGTGTTTTGCAACATGTTCTATGGCACGTCTCTACTGGGAATTGTAGTTTTAAAAGACGTTTTCGTTTTTCCCAAAATTAGAAGTTGATTGTATTAAACTGTGTACAGCCCTGGAGGTTTAGGGGATAGGAAACAAATTGGTGTGTACAAATGTAAAACATGTAATTAATAAATGGGTGAAAATCGCTTGTGTCCATAATGGGAAGCATTAATATATACCCACATGCCAGCTCATTGTTACTTTGTAATTCTACTCCACTACAATTCAGAGGTTAACCTGGTATTTTTACTCCACTACATTTATTTTAGTTACTTTGCAGATTCTGATTATATAAAAAAAATATAAACAACCCTTAAATATAAACAACCCTTAAAGCAGACTTTAGTTACACCTGAGTAAAATTCAGGGAAAGGTGATTGTCAAGTGCCAACAATCAGAAGAGATATTAGTTGGTGCTTGAGAAGACTAAACATTTATCTGCAGATCTCTATAAAGTATATTCATTACTCGTTATTCTCTACTAATAGTTAATTAAAGACTGTATATAATAGCTATTTTGCACATCCCTTTCAAGATTTTCTAAGGTTTATTGACATATCATATACACAACTATGTTGAAGTTATGCAATTAATGAAAAACTTGGGTCACAGGTTCCTCAACAGTGCATTACAAGACATCTATCAATATGTGTGTATTCCTCCACCATTAAACTCAAATTCTGCACATGTCTTATACTATCTACATACATAAGAGTATAATTAATATATATATAATATCAGTTAAAATAAGTGCTTCAACACAGTTAACATTGCAGGAAAGCAATATATTAGACGTTAAGTACTTTGTCAGGCTTAATATTTATCTGTAGATAGATACCCCCAAAGCTTTTTTCTTATTTGAAAGAAAACCTAAAGTGTTCTTTAATGTGTTAATAAAGGTTAATTAGTTTGTCTGTTTTGCACATCCTCATATTAATATCAGGCACTAAACTGTTTTATTGTAGAGATCACTTACAGTATCTTCTTGATTTTTTATATTCTATATTTCTATCATTTACCTTCTACTTTCCCCCTATGAAAGTATGTACTCTTAATATTTTATTCATCAAATAACATTATTCAACAAAAATAACATTATTCAACAAAAATAATTAAATAACGTGCTTTAACCACTAGGCGGTGCACACAAGGTACACACAGCATACTAATAATAACTTTGTTAGTGTAGGACACTTATGTATGTATAACATCTGAAGATGTGTAGTTTTATTCATGTTTTTACATAATTGTACAGGATATTGCTATATTATTTCTCATGTTTTACTTCTACACATTAATATCTGATTTGTAAAACATCACAGACAGAAAGGTATATCCGTCATTTAATGGTAAGCTATTGAAATTGTGATTCCATAGATGTGTCTCCCATCACCCTAATCCCCTGACTATTCTCTCAACTCAGTATTTACATTCTTATATTCAAAGAAAATCAGTAATATCTTTAAAAACTACAAGTCCTTTTCTATCAGCTGTGCACCGTTATGGTGTAAATATAACCTATCTACCAATTGGATCAAATATAAAAGTCAGCCGTATTAGTATTGATACTGCAAGGAGACGTATTTTGTGAAAAGAAATGTAAGATGTTGTTTAATTGTTGATATATTTATGATCCACGTCACGTATTCAGTTTCGGCGGCAGTTCTTCCTGTTTGTCCAGAAGTCTTCTCATCAGGGCTCTATAAATAAAGAACTATGGCAGATGTGTAATATTTAATGCAGCCGAACCGTGTATTACAATGCCGTTATGTGATGACTTTCAAAGAGAAAAGCAAGAACACTCGGAATAAAGTATTATTATTATTTTTTTTAATGTTTTCGGATTTCACATCGCATAAACACCATATCCCAACGTGCATTGCGGCTAAAACATCCAATCAGCGAGCTGAGGATCTTTCCTACGTCTGTTTCCGGTATTGTTCCTGTAATGAAAGTTCACATTTATGCTACATTGAAGGGTGGAATTGACTACACATCTTCAGAAACATAATTTGCTTCAGATATATACTGTAACTCATAGCAATATTGTAACCATTAAGAAAAGCCAACTGCATTAAAAACCCAGTTAACAAACACAAGGTAAAGTATTTTTCCTTCAGTAATGAAGATGTAATTCCAATGTAGACACACCTGGGGTCGCTGTTCAGTCTGTTACGCTGAGCCATGCATTGTCTGGAACGTAAAAGGGACGAAGAAGACAAAGTGAAGTGACGTACTTCCGGTTCAATGTGAAAACATTCCCAGTTAAACCATAGATATATATAAAAACATATGTTTATATATATCTATGAGTTAAATAACATAAAGAAATCGCTTAATAAAAAGATAAAACACTGGCATGTAATTTACGTTTGGATTAAATAGAATGGTTTTGAATAATAGATGAGAGTAAAATCTACGTCACAGCCCCACCCACTTTTGGGGAAACCAATGCTGTCATTTGAACGGTGATCAAGCCTGAAGCCACAGAGCTCTTCTGCTGTCCTTAGAGGAAGTTTGAGGTGTTTGAGGTGCAATAAACGACACAGCAGCTTTTTGGCATGTTAAAACTCTGCCTCGCAGCTGGCGAAATTACAGCCTCGCCTACTGATTTTAATTTAACCATAGGATATCAAGCCCGATCGTCGATTTCAAATGTGTGCTCTAAAATGATATTAATAAATGACTATTATCATTATTATAAGCTAGAAAAGAAATGTCAAAGATAGGTAGAAAGCAAACGTATTTAAGATATGTTCAGAACAAACGTAACGTGGGACAAAAGACGTTTCTTGTTAAACGTAATTGAGAATGCTGTATGAAACGACTACAAACAATATTGTGATTATTAAGCATTAACCAGCATAATAACGGATTTGGTCAACTGAAAAGTCAGCCGCCAGCCAGCGCGAAAATAAGTTTGCTCTAAAATGATATTAATAAATGACTATTATCATTATTATAAGCTAGAAAAGAAATGGCAAATATAGGTAGAAAGCAAACGTATTTAAGATACGTTCATTACCTGGACGACCTCAAAGTCATATGAGAGAAAATAGGTTTCTAGAAGATATGTAGAAAATAAACGTATTTAAGATATGTTCATAACAAACGTAACGTGGAAGGAAATACGTTTCTTGCGAAACGTATTTGAGAATGCAGTTTAGTTTTGTGGGAACGTAATTTCTAGGAGACAGGGTTGCAAAGCACAGAAAGTATTTGCGTTTTGCATTCCAGGGTGTAGCCTACGAGTACAACAGACTACCGTTCGGCTACTCCCTATCCCCACGCATGTTCAGCAAATGTGTGGCCACTGTGCTCCAGCCGCTGCACGTCCATGGCATGAGAGTTTTCTTTTACCTGGACGACCTCAAAGTCATTGCCAGGTCCAGGGAACAGGCAATGTTTTGCACAGCACAATTGGTCCTACACCTAACCGAGTTGGGCTTTGCAATTAATTGGGAAAAGAGCACCCCCATACCTCACCAACAGGCGTTGTATTTGGGAGTGGTGCTCGATGCAGGCGCGCTGCGCGCCACCCTGTCATAGAGCAGGCGTGAGTCCCGGCTTCGGGCGGGTCACAGGCTGCGACAGGGGGCAACAGTGACAGCTTTAACTGGCATGCAGAATCTGGGTCTCATGGCGGCTGCTCACGTTGTGGTCCCGCTCGGGTTACTGCATATGCGCCGCCTGCAGAGGTGGTTCTCCAGCCTGCGTTTAGATCCCAAGGGGCACAAACGACGTCTGGTGACCATTCCCCCCTCAGTGGAGGGCAACCTCCGGTTCTGGGGGTCCCCGGATCTCCTCCGGAGGGGGTCTCCACTGGGACGGGTGACCTCCTACATCACAGTGTTCACAGAGAACAGGATGGGGAGAGGCCTGCCTGAAGAGAGCTAGAGGTGGGCGCTGGTCTCTAACAGAAACACGGCACAGCAACCTCCTAGAGCTACGGGCAGTAGTGTTGGTCCTCCCAGCATTTCAAACCCTTAATTCGGGGGAGACATGTAATGGTCAGGAGCGACAACAGCACCACAGTGGCATATATCAACAGGCAGGGCGGAGTCCGCTCCACCGCTTTGTTGACCACAGTGGGGAAACTGTGATTATGGGCTTCAGAGGTGGTGTTATTTCTGAGAGCCCTCCACATTCCGGGTCTGGAGAACAGGGGGGGCCGACCTCATGTCGAGGGGCGGCCCCCTGCCAGGCGAGTGGGCGCTTCACCCGGAGGTGGTGAAGCAGATCTGGGCCCGGTTCGGGACAGCAGAGGTGGATCTGTTCGCCCGCCGGCGCAACAGCCACTGTGCTCTGTGGTTCTCTATGGCTTTGAGCGACCACCCTTGGGGGGGGACGCGTCTGCACACGAGCCATGGCCAAGAAAGCTGCTCTACGCCTTTCCACCGCTGCGTCTCATTCTCCCTCTCCTGGGGAGAGTGAGGCGGAACGTCTGTCAATCATCCTAGTAGCGCCGGATCGCGTCAGGGCTCCGTGGTACTCAGGGATGACACAGATGAAGGTGGGCCAGCCCTGGGCGCTTCCCCAGTTCTGGGGGGCGATGTCTCAAGAGGCAGGTGCAATCGGGGCGTTACCCACTCTGGGCCGACCTCTCCAGGCTTGGCTCCTGAGAGGGACAGGCTAAGACAGGGTGGATTGTCTGATAGTGTTATTCAGTCTATCCAGGCAGCTAGAGCGGGATCCACCACAGCCTGTTACAGGCCGAAGTGGCTGGGATTCCTGCGATGGTGTGAGGAGCCCCTATCTTGTGAGTTGGGATCTATTTTGTCGTACTTACAGTTATTGGTGGACAGAGGGCTTGCTCATTCCACAGTGAAAGTGTATGCAGCAGCCATCTCGTCCTGCCATGAGGGATTTGACGGCAGGTCAGCCTTTTCTCAGCCACTAATGTTGCGGTTTTTACGGGGGGTCAGGAGGCTGCACCCAGTAGTGCACGCCTCCTCCCCGCAGTGGGACCTGCCGCTGGTGCTCGAGGCTCTGGTCTCAGAACCATTTGAGCCTCTGGAGCTCTCCTCCCTAAAAGCACTGTCGTGGAAGACAGCATTGCTACTTGCCTTAACATCAGCCAAGAGAGTGTCCGAGTTAACCGCTCTATCGGTGCACCCGAGTTGCTTGGTGATCCGGGGTGACCAGAGCGGGGCGACACTCAGACCGAACCCCTCCTTTGTGCCCAAGAGCCTAAGGAGTGCGTTCAGGTCGAGGGCTATTCAGTTGGGGGGCTTTAATCTTCCACCCCATAGTGGGGCGAGGGAGGCTAAATTGCACCTCCTCTGCCCGGTGCATGCGCTAGCGTGTTATGTGGAGCCCACGGCTGCCCTTAGACGCACTGAACAGCTGTTTGTGTGCTTCGGGGACGGGGTGATCGGGAAAGCCCTGTCCAAGAAACGCCTGGCAGGCTGGCTCTGCGAGGGCATTGCACATGCCTACGAACAGGCGGGGAGAGCCTTCCCCACGGGGGTCCGTGCACACTCTACACGAGCTATGGCTGTGTCAACAGCCTTATTTAACGGCATGAGTGTGAGGGTAACCAACATTCTTCAATAGATAGACTAAACAGCTGAGGACACTGAATTACTTTAGTTGTCGGTTATGGCTCGGGGTCATCTACACCCCGAGAAGGATGTGTTCCAGGTGTCCCGGTCATAAACTGGTAACAACAACAACATGCTAGGGCAGCCCCTCCTTAAGGGAGATAGCGGTTGTCCAAGGTTGGGCATCTGCGTCAGAGGGCGAAGGAGGACATGCAGGGCAAATTATTCCCTGACACTTACCAGCGTTTTGGTTTCCTCCCGTTTCCTGTCATTAAAAACCTCTTCTCTGCAGGATGTGTCGGAGCCAAACAGGGCCAGCATCTACCGTTCCCTCACCATCAACATCTCCAAGGAGATGATGAGCTTCAGCGACTTCCCCGTCCAAGCTGATTACCCCAACTACATGCACCACTCAAAAATCCTCAATTACTTTAAGATGTATGCAGAACATTTTAAACTGCTGAAACACATCCGCTTCCAGGTAACAACATCCAATTTAGTATGTGGTTTAATATTTCCGGTGCAATTTAAAACTATAACTTCAAACAAATCTACTGTGTTCATTTATTTTTTAGACCTTGGTGAAGAATGTCAACCAAAGACCAGACTTTTCTCGCACTGGTCAGTGGGAAGTGGTGACAGAAAACAAAGATGGGCAGGAGGAGAGGCATGTCTTTGATGCAGTTATCTGCTGTTCGGGTCACTACAACTACCCTAACTTGCCTTTGAAAGAGTTCCCAGGTAAATACATTTTTTTTTTAAATGCACCTCAGACCAGGCTTAAAGGTAGGGTAGGTAATTCACTTCAGAAACACTTTTTGTTATATTCCATGGAATGCTCTTAACATCCCGATAGCAATGAATAAATTAAATGCTTTGACAATAAATATATACAAATATTTCATCTGTGGAAGCCGTGGCGCTGTAAAAAACAAGACCAATCATTTTAGCTGGCCCGGTTAAAATAACTGGATGGCCTACCTGCCTGTCAGCCTTCCATCTCGTGCACAAACTTATCTCGTGCCCTGATTGGTCACGTTCGTGTGTGTTCCTCTGTAAGGAAGTCTGAAGGAAGGGGCAGATTTTTTTCGGTTGTGTACTTTCAAATTCTAGCTTACTCGAGCTGGTTTCTCCATTCTTACCTTCCCTACCTTTAATGGATTATTTTGTTTTTCACTTATAGCTGTTGGCACAAGATACCAATATGTGTTGAAACGTTCCACTTTTAAATGCCTCAATGGCCTCGCCCTGCCCTACCTTTCTAAATTGCTACACCCCTATGCGCTTTCTCAGGTCAGCTGATCAACTGCTCCTGAATGTTTACCAGAACAAAGTGAAAATTGAGAGCTGTGAAATAATCTGCCCCTGCAAATTAGACAGGCCATTAAACTGTCTGTTTTTAAATCTCTTTTTAACACCCACCTCTTGGACACTTTGTAGATTGTTGCTTTTATTGCTTTTAATAGTCTATTGTTTTTTATATTTGGCTGTTATTATTTGTATTCTTGTTTATTCTTGTTTCTACCTTTATCTCTTTTTTTAAAACTTATTTTATGGTTTGTGAGCTGAGCTGTGGGATTTTTTGTATTTTATTTATTTCTCTGTACAGCACTTTGGTCTGGAGGTTTTAAAGTGCTTTACAAATAAAGCTGTGTTGTATTTTATAACATGTGAAACACAGTAATAATGACATCACTCTGCTGTGTTTCAGGAATTGAGACATTTGAAGGAAAATACTTCCACAGCTGGGACTACAAGGGGCCTGAAGACCTTATCGGGAAAAAAGTGGTGGTCATCGGCATCGGTAACTCAGGAAGTGACATCGCTGTGGAGAGCAGCAGAGTGGCAGAGCAGGTTGGGAAGTATTTTCTGTTTGCTCTTGTCCTCCTTCTTCATGCTAATTTGTGTGTCTGACTTTTGCCTTTGTGGTGCAGGTGTATCTGAGCACTCGTAGTGGAGCCTGGGTCATGCGTCAGGTTTCTGACAACGGCCTGCCAGTGGACATAAAGTACCTCACACGCTTTGTCCACATCCTCACCCAGGTGCTGCCTATCAGAATCCTCAACTGGCTGTGTGAGTCAAAACTCAACGCCATGTATGACCACACCATGTATGCCCTCAAACCCAAACACAGGTAGGTGCAGCCAGGGTGACAACAATTATTACTGCGAATATTGGACCACTTCCTCACATTCTGTTGCTGAAGTGAGAAGAAGATAAAGTCACGTTAAAGCATTTCATCTTACATAGTGAAGAAAGCTGGTTAGTTAGTCCCTTTATACAATGATGGACAGTAAATAAGCCCATTCACTCAAGTACTGCACTTTCACTTGGAACAATTTTGAGGTACAGCTACTTTGATTGAATATTTCCACATACTACTACTCCCTAACAATTCATAACAAGTCAAATATTGCACTTCTTACTTAACTTAATATATTTGATAACTTTAGTTGTTTGAAGATTCGGATTGGTAATACAAAATAAGATTAACAAATAGTTTATCATGTACTATGATAGGCTTAGATAAACTTTATTCATCCCTTATAATCACAAGCTTAAAAAAAGAGCTCCACCTTTACCAGAAGCAGCTTTAAAGTCACATTAAAACATAAATAAATATAATACAATTATATAATATATTTTTCTCTGAAAATGCTGTTGTGCAGAGTGAGTTTAACTCGTATTTTGATGCCAATACTTTTGAATAAATTAAGTAAGATTTTGAATGTGTGACTATTACTTGTAGAAGAGTATTTCTACATTGTAGTATTATTACTTTTGCTGAAGTAAAAGATGTAAGTAGTTTATCTCCCTTGTTGTCCACACCTCTTTTTCCTGCTGCCTCCTCAGATTCTTCAGTCAGATCCCGGTGATCAACGATGATCTGCCTCTAAGGATTCTGTCTGGGTCTGTCATCATCAAACCAAATATGAAGGAGATCTGTGGCTCGTCCGTGGTGTTTGAGGATGGCAGCACTGTGGAAAATGTAAAATAACTTAGTTTCCAAGGATATATTCTATCTTTATTTGAAGCAAAATTCAAGGCTATCTCTTACTTATCTCTTCCTCTTTATAGGTGGATACGATCGTGTTTGCAACAGGTTACAACTATGATTTTCCATACTTGCCAAGTAGTTCTAAGTACATGTCTGGGCATCGTCTGGGAATGTACAAGCACGTTTTTCCTCCAAACCTGGAGCATCCCACTCTGGCTGTGGTGGGTTTCATCCATGCCTTTGCAGCGATCATGACACAGGCTGAAATGCAGGGCCGCTGGGTCTCACGAGTCTTCAAAGGTGAGGCTTTACCAGTTTATCATCTACCACTTTTCTAGATACTTTTCAAACAGACCATATACCTTTGTCTGTCTTCTGTCTTTTGCATTTCAGGACTTGCCAAGCTGCCCTCAAACCAGGCCATGATAAAGTCTGTGGACAAGGACACCAAGGACATCGAGAAAACGTAAAACTAATATTCCTCTGCTAGGTTATTTATTGCAAACAACATTGTCAATTCCTTTGATAATATCTTAAGGTTCTTCAAATTAGATTCAAGATTCAAGGCTTTTATTGTCATTCGTACATAGCTACCGTGTAGTTATGTTGATGAAAATCTTAGGTCACAGGCTCCCCCAACAGTGCAACACAATAAAACAGATAAAATAGAATAGAAGTAGTGCCATAAGAGTCTATATACAAGTGATAAATAATGTGTAATTAAATTGCTTTGTTAATAAATAGTAAACAAAGGTTTGAGTGCAACAAATTCCTATATTCATTTCCGATCCATCCTATCCACAGCTACATTGTGTCAAGGTTGGCACCCCTGCACGTGGACTTTGTTACCTACATGGATGACTTAGCAGGAGAGATTGGGGTGCGGCCCAGTCTGCTCTGGCTCTTCTTCACAGACTACCAAATGTTCAAGATGCTTCTGTGGGGACCTGTCACCAGCTACCAGTACCGCTTGATGGGACCAGGGAAATGGGACGGAGCCCGCAGAGCAATCTCAACCACGTTGAACCGCGTGTACCAGCCCCTGAAAACCAGACAGGTCTGAAATAAACACGGTTTCTTCATAAGACTCCTATGAAATTAAATAAATGCATTATGAACATGTCCAATATCGAAAACACGTTCATCTCAGTGGGCTTTACAGATTAACAAACATAGATGACAGTGTTAAAGATTAAAACAATTACAAGAAACAAATTAAAAGACAGGATACAAATAAAATAGATAATAGAAAAAATACGAAAAATTGTAGCAGTCAGGAGGACAAACATAGGCTTATCTTAAACCAGCTCTAACTATAGGCTTTATTAAATAGGAAGGTCTTCAACACACTCTTAAAGTGTTCAACACTGTCTGCCTCCCTAATAAAAACAGGAAGTTGGTTCCACGGAAAAGGAGCTTGGTAGCTGAACGCTCTGGCTCCTGGTCTAGTTTTGCGGACTCTTTGAACTAATCGAAGACCTCCACTCTGGGAGCGTAATTAAAATATATTTTGGTGGTCCTAAACATGAAATAATGTTTGTATATATCCAACTAAACGTTCCCTCCCATCCCTTACAGCTGGAGACAAAAGAAGCCTCTGTTGCTGGCAGCCTGTTGAAGCTGAGCCTGACCCTCATGGCTGGAGGAGCGGCCGTCTACTACATCCATGTGCGCAACCCGACCACCATCCCCACTCTGCTGGCCAACCTGCGGCCACAAACAGCCTAACATGTTGAATCAAACATGGTCATATATGCAGACCAAATACTTTACTTGTTTCCTTAAGTAATATAGTTAAATGAACTCCTGATTGGGTTGTGATTATGGGAATACCACTGTTTAAGCTGCTTTTAAAGCTAAAGCTATTACTGCTGCTATATGTTTAGTTTATTCAAATGCCATATCCTTTTTTCTTAAGAAAGTCCACTGTATATGCACATTTTCAATCCAAAAAGTATGGTAAAGTGACAAAATCCTGGTTTTCAATTGTAGATCCACACAATCGTTCACTGCTAATGATTACTGTCAGAAATGTCCTACAGCAAACTCTTAGTGTATTGAAAAAGTAATACTGAGTTAAAGTGTAAAAGAATGGAATTCAAAGTTGGTAGTGGATGTAAAAGTATTTTCTTGTTTGCGTATAAACACAAGCAGGTCTGTTAACATTTGCTGGCTTGTAAAATGTCAACCATAACTACATTAACCAGATATATGCATAGCCGTGGGAACATGTTTCAATTGGGGGGTGCTGTGGGGATGACACCAGGGCTGTACACCTGAATATATACACTATATTTAAAGTAATTCAGCCACTTCAGGGGACCATGGGACTCACATCAGTTAGCATCAGAAGTAAAAAGGCAAAAGCATTTAAAACTACCATTTATCAAAGTATTTTACTTAGAAAAGCTGCAGTGTGACCATGAGTGTGACCCACATACTTTAAGAGTCGTGTTTACATAGTCAATGTTACCCAACACAAAGGTTCCTGTTGAGCTACACCTCCCTTTTTGGTCCCATCTGCCAAATATTGAAAAATAACCCAATAACCTACATAGATTTATTGTTTTATTCCGGGATGGTGAAACTTTAGAAGCTCCAATACTGGACGAATACGTAGATTATATTTCCCACTCATGGATTTAGGCATCCATAGCCGTGGGAACATGTTTCAAATGGGGGGTACTGTGGGGATGACACCAGGGCTGGTTCTGACCAATTTGCTAACCTAGGCAAGATTTTAGCTGGCAATGAAAAACCTCTACAAAAGACCAATACACTACAAAAAGATAAACGTATTGACATGGTGGACATATATGTGTGTCATAAGCTTTTAAATCACAGAGAATGTAAGGGAATGTTAAACAAATATAAAGACATCTCACTCTTTGAGTAGACCCATTAATAAAGACTAATCAAGAGAAAGCCCTCTGTGTGTGTGTTGTTGATCATGTGGTGGGGGGCGGGGTTATTGAAACTACAGGAGAAACGGGGGGAAAGTCAAATGTGTTGTGAAGCAAGCATAGGATGCTATGAGATTATGTATAGGCCTACTGCATTTACACCTACATCATTTATATCGTGTATTTCGTCAGTGTTTTTTTTTTGTTTTGTTGCCAGAATCGCTCGCGGCACCTGGAGAAGAAAAGACACCGCTTCCGCTTCCAGTGTTTACTCGAGTTTACAATCCGAGTGTTTCAACCATGGATGTATAATAAGAGTTTGAGCATATATTCTCAGTGGCGGCGCCAGGGTATGGCTGGGGTAGGCTACAGCCATACCAAGAAATGGCTTAGCCCCACCTCAGCCCCACCATGAAAAATGATGTTAAAGTAAGCAAAATAAAGTCCGTCAACTCGCGCGGAGTAAATTGCACAGACAGCAGTTAGTAAGATTGATTTCAGTAGCCACTTGTCTGGAAATACCGAAGACTAGAAACAGTTTTGAAAACTTTTGTCACGTAGTGATCATCTTCTCAATAAAACATCTTTGATAATGTCTTCTGGCCAATCAGAATCACGATAACGGCGTGGTGTTGTTACAGGAAGTCCCGACGGAGAATACTTTTGCTGTAGTACATCTCTATACTTCGATACAACATTACGTGTTGATTTAATAAGACTGTTTGATAATTGATATGTGTGGGCTGTCTTTCATTTTGACACACAGAACAATGGGGGCTATCCACCCTTATCCACAATGTAAAGTAATTCACACAGCCTCTTTCCTCTTCTCTGTGAGGAGCAGCACTGCTGCAGCAGGTTCAGCTTTCAGAACAAAGTAACAAAACAAAAATGGCATTCATTTTTTTTTAAATGTGTAGTAATAGATGTATGTATTTTTCTTCTCAAGAGAGTACCAGAATGTGTATTTTGTGTTAGTATTTCAAAAAATCTCCTGGGGGAGAATCCCCCAGACCCCTCTGCAGGGGTTGGGTTTTCAGCATGTCAACTCTTTCACCTGTGGGGAAATTGCAGGATTGGCTCCAGGTCGCCCTTTTCGTTTACTACAAGACATTGCAAATACTGACTTGAGCCCCACCACTGTATGGGTTAGCCCTACCATAGATTACCCAACAAAAATACTCTGGAGCCGCCACTGTATATTCTGAATATATAGGCTACTCAAAATGTTGAAATGCTCATTCATGATGCTCTGAATTTCAGAGGATCATACTATGTGGTTTAATGGGCATGTAAAAAGTTAACTTTAGCTTCCTTTCTCTTTTAATTCCCTCTGGAGATTTTTTATTTTATGGTGCCAGAGAAAAAACTTATTTTGGGGCCAAGAGCTGTCCCGCTGAGGTGTAAACAGAAATACTGACTTGCAGGGTGACAGGGTCAAAGTGCATCGCCTGCAATAGCCTTCTGTAGATAAGAAACATGCAGTTCATGTGAATGTAGAGGCTGTTTGGCATTTTAGTCGCAGCTGACCGGGACTTGTAGAAGGTGAGAACAGTTTTTCAGACTTCAACAATGCAAACATTTATCTTTCTTGATGTTCACATATTACACATGCTGAAAAATTAGATATTTTACATTGCTGTTTTTGAATAAGTGTTACCTCTTCTTGTACCGAAAATGCTTAGCTTTGCTGAAATAATCATAATCCTTTGTTTTATCATTTTATTTAATTGTCTATTTAGTCTACTGAAGTAGTCCAACACTTGGTTCTGCATGTTATTTTGAGTTAATCTGAAGTAAAATGCTCTTAGCAAAAAGCTATGTTTATTTAAGAGGAGTGGATATATTAACAGATATTCTCTTGAATATGAATAAGTAAATTATGACGTATGCTGGTAAGGTGATCATAGCTGTTTAGACTTTTCGTCTTGTTTTCTCAGTTCTCAGCCATGGTGCGACGTGTGGCAGTGGTGGGAGCCGGCAGCTCTGGTCTGGCTTGCATCAAGATCTGCGTTGAGGAGGGCTTGGAGCCTGTTTGCTTTGAGAGCAGCGATGACATTGGCGGCTTGTGGAAATTTAAGGTGAGTGGGGGGCACCTTGAGTAGCCCACACATGAATGTAGTGGCCAGTTAAAGATTGGTATGATACTGTATGGCCTAAGAGCTCCCAACCTAATCTGGAATAAAATGATATTCAGTTTGAAAATAGATTGTGTGGCTTGTGTCAAAAGAATGATTGCAAACCTCAGTAAATTGTCCTTATCAAAGTTGTGTTTGTGCCAACAGGAGTCACCTGAGCCAGAGCGGTCCAGCATCTATCGCTCCTTGGTGGTGAACACCTCCAAAGAGATGATGTGTTACAGTGATTTTCCCATGCCTGCTGACTATCCAAACTACATGCACAACTCCCAGCTTCTGCAGTACTACAGGCTCTACGCTGACCACTTTGACCTGCTCAGATACATTCATTTCCAGGTCATCCTCCAGGAGTTCACTATCTTTTCACAAGTTTATACAACATACTATGTGAAGTTAAAGTTATCAATTCTTTCTTTCTTTTTTTTCTGAATGTGGTCATGCATGATACAGACCACAGTGAAGAGTGTTGCCCAGAGGCCGGATTTCTCTCTGTCAGGTCAGTGGGACATAGCGACAATTAACAAGGATGGCGAGGAGGAGAGAAACGTCTTTGATGCAGTTCTGGTGTGTTCGGGCCACTACACTCATCCGTCCTTACCCCTGTCAGGTTTTCCAGGTCTGTCAAATTCAAACATTTTACAGAATTTGATGAAAGAGCAACATTTATTTATTTTTTCATTCTTGCATATACTGCAACTGTTTTCCTTTTGCACCATCTGTGTCTTCTCCAGGATATGAGACGTTTTCTGGCAGGTGCTTTCACAGCTGGGAATACAAAGATGCAGATGCCTGCAGAGGAAAGAGGGTGGTGGTGGTTGGCATTGGCAATTCTGGAGGAGATATTGCAGTGGAGATCAGTAGATCTGCAAAGAAGGTAAGATGGGAAAAAAAGGAAAAGCTTTAATTTAGTTTGGCAGAGGAGCAGGGGATAGATGAAAACAATGTGTACTTAACTGCTATAAGATTGCACTGCACATTGTTATTTCAAAATATGTAACCCATGAATTCACATCTATTTTTTTTAATCACTCTGACAGACATTTCTCAGCACACGCCAGGGGGCCTGGGTGATTGGCAGGATGTCCAGTAATGGTCTTCCTCTGGACATGACCGCTATCACCAGACTCAACAACATGCTCACACTGCTTCTGCCCAATACTTTGGTCAACTGGGCAGCAGAGAGAGCACTGAACTACAAATATGACCACAGACTGTATGGTCTGAAGCCCAAACACAGGTGCCTCATGATTCCAGTGTGAAAATGCTGTCAGCTGTGCAGACTGTTACTGTATCTAATACAATGGTGTCATTTTGAATAGGATAAAATCTTTGTAACAAGGTGTATAGGTGGTTGATTCCTTTCATTTAATTTATTTCCAAGACTTATGGACAGAAGGCCTCTGATCAATGATGACCTCCCTGGTCGAATCCTTCTGGGAGCGCTTGCAATGAAAACCAATCTAAAAGGATTCAAAGACTCAGGAGTGGAATTTGAAGATGGCAGCGTGGAGGAGAACATTGATGCTGTGGTTTTCTGTACAGGCTATAATGGAACATTTCCATTCATGCCTTCAGTTTTAACTCACGGGCCTCAACGAGAACTGACATTGTACAAGTGAGTATGTTGTCGGTAGAGTTTGTATGTGTGATTTTAGTTTTTTTAAGTTTTACTAGTTGAAAATCCACACTAAAACTTAACAAACTCAGGCCCTGGGTTGTAAATGTTGTAATATTACCTTTCACATGAGAAGATAGATAGCATTTTTAACAAAACAAAAAAAAGATCCTAATTATACTTCAATAAATAAAAATATAGAAACATTTTACAGAGCATAAGATTGAATTGTGCTTAAATTGTGCTGTTTTAAAATAACATTTTAGTTAAAAAATATGCATCCTATGAGTTATTGTGTATATATATATATTAAAATATATTTTGTTAGTACTGCCATATATTAATATATACTTTGGTCATTTCAGGACACTGTTTCCTCCTTCTCTGGTACGACCCACACTGGCCGTCATGGGTCTTTTCCAGACCAAAGGACCAATCACGCCAATTGTGGAAATGCAGGTGCGATGGGCTGTCAAGGTCTTTACCGGTAAATTATTATGAGCTTTAAATGTAAACACACCCACTCGGGACTGAAAAGTGCAAGGTGTCAGCTGTTGTGTTTCATCTTCAAGGTTCGAGCTCTCTTCCACCTAAGGAGAAAATGCTGGAAGTCATCAAGTCTGAAAGGAAGAGGAACATGAAAAGGTAGACATCATCTTCACAATGAAGCTCATTCAAAAGAACAGGCAGATGTTCTTCCTGCACGTATAAAGTAAATCGTTTTTGAAATTTGAACCAATTGACTTGCTTTCTCAGCTATCCTTGCCCACGAACGGCAGCTCTCCAGGTAGAATACATCCCTTACCTGGATTTCATGGCAAAGGAGGTTGGTTCAGTTTATCTCGATATAAAATTGCGTTATCATTTGTATTGCACCTGTAAGACACAAACCTCATGATATACTTCCAATCACAGGTGGGTGTTCGACCAAACCTCCTGACACTACTGCTGACAGATCCTGTGCTCTGGGTGAGGATCTTCTTTGGTCCCTGCACTCCATATCAGTATCGTCTCACGGGGCCTGGACAGTGGGCCGGGGCCCGTCAGGCGATCCTCACTCAGTGGGAGCGATTGGCTCAACCCTTCAGAACCAGAGCGGTACCGGAGAGCAGGCCGTCTGCGATTTCTCCCTGGGCGCTTGTACTTGGAGGAACAGTTGCAATGGCTTTCATTCTGTCTAAAACTGAGATAACTCCAGTGCTGTCGGGTGCCGCCCAGTTTCTGGACAGGTGCAAGATGTTTCTGAAGGACTCCTGGTTCACTGTTACACCAGACTAAAATGATCATATTTGGGTACACTGTGTAACGAATATAACCCATGTTGCAATATGATGTACAATTATAATACAGACATCGATAATATTAATATCCTAAATATTCTAAGATTCATTGAAAGAAAAAAAAGTAAATGGATCAGGGAATTTTAAGACATTTAAAAAAAAAATTATTTGGTGTTTGGCTTGCAGAAAAAGAGACAGCCTCCCTCTTTTAATGTTGTGTATGATTGGAGTATATGTAATAATATGGTGCTACACAATTGTAAAAGTAGTTGGCACCCTTCTGATAGGTGTATCTGTTTCAAAGGTCAGAGAAAACTGCAATCTACCATCAGATAGCATAGAAAAACCTAAATTGAGGCTTATTAAAAACTATAATTATATGTATGTGTGTTTGTCGGACTGAGGTCAGCATGATACACAGAGCAGATTTAGCAGTGACCACATTATGTTGTTGGTTTACTTATTGTCTGTCATTTAATTCTGAAATGAATCGTGTACACCATGTATAGGTTGGTTATTTTGATAAAATACCTCTGTAGGGAATCAGGGAGAGGATAAGCCCAGAGAGTGTTGTTTACCTGGAGCAGCACCATCTCAGGCTTTTATGTGTTTCTTTAATCAGACCTATCTGTCTTATTTTGAAGTTCGTGTCTGGGAGCCGACAGGAAAAGTTCAACACCAATCACAAAAGGTACTTGTAAGTTGTAACGGAGGAGATCTCAGGTGGCCCTAGATCTTATTCTCCGTCATGTCTAGCTGTAGTACAGTATGCCGGTTTGCATGATAAAACGGATGCGTCACACACATATAGTGCTTCAGAGCTGCAAATGACTACTTCAGGTTGAACTTTGTATTCTGTTTAGCCAGTTTTGCTTCGTCTTGGTACTTATTAAACTTTCGGCGAAATTCGCCGTTTTGATTCCAAAATAGGTCGTTTGTGTGATTCATGTAGATCTGCAATAAAAATATTTTTGGGGTATGGGGGGGGTCTGGGACCCGGAGTAATCTGCGGCCGCGAGCTGTTATGTGCCATCATGACACGCATGGTGTTCTTTTTTTATATATTATAATGAAGCGCGAGCACAAGTCTTCCTGCCTGTCAGCTCTGCTCATGGATGTATAATAAGGCTCTGCTGCTCCGGGATGAGGGTCTAGCTTCAGCAGCTACATTACCTACGGTGCGTTCGTTAATATTAACTGTGCGGTCCAGAGTCACTGTGGCACAGACTGGACCGCTGGTTAGAACGGGGTGTTCGGAGCAGCAGAGCGTGATGTGCACTGAAAAGTGTTTCTGTCGCAATATTATTTAATGAATCGTTGAGCTAGCTAACTAGCATACATTGTCACTATCTGCTAACGTTAGCTTTAGCCTTCGTTTTCAAATAGTTTCTTTCATAGCCTATAAACGGAGGTGGTATAAGTATCTTGTTCTTGAGTAAAAGTTGAAGTACTCAGGTCTTGTACTTGAGTACAAGTAGAAGTACTCAGATCTTGTTCTTGAGTAAAAGTAGAAGTACTCAGATCTTGTACTTGAGTAAAAGTAGAAGTACCAGAGTGTAGGAATACTCTGTTACAGTAAAAGTCCTGCATTCAAAATGTTCCTCAAGTAAAAGTAGAAAAGTATTATCATCAAAATATAGTTAAAGTAGCAACAGCAAAAGTAGTCATTGTGCAGATTGGTCCATTTCAGAATAATATATATGATATGTTTTATAATGATTGATCATGAAAGTGTTCTCAAAGCTGGTAAAGGTGCAGCTAGTTTGAATGACTTTGTATACTGCAGGGTAGCTTGTGAATTTACTCCAGGTGGAACTAAAGTCTGATTTAACACTTGATTATATTTCACATCATTCATCCACATCTGTGAAGTAACTAAAGGTATTCAATACATGTAGTAGAGTAAAAGTACACCATGTACCTCTGAACTGTAGAGGAGTAGAAGTACACCATGTACCTCTGAACTGTAGAGGAGAAGAAGAACAAAGTAGCAAAACATTGAAATACTTAAATAAAGTACAAGTATCTAAAAATTGTACCCAAGTATAGTACTTGAGTTTATGAACTTAGTTACTTTACACCACTGGCTATAAAGATAGAAAGACAGCCTTGCACAGAGGCATGAAAATACATTTTCAAAATGCTCAACAGTCCTGCCAAAATTATAAACTGACTGCTCCACAATTAAAATAAATGCTTAAATATATTTCTATTAGATGTGACTCTTTGGCGTTTCTGTTATTATTAACTGCTGCTTTAGTTGTTCTGACTGCTAAAATCCTCTGTTATTCCTCATTTTAAAGCCGATATTCCGTGGGGTCGGGGGGCTCGGATCCTTGTCACCTTTTTCATACCTGATGAGTTTGCATCCCTGCAGACAAGTTACTTCTGTTTCCATAAAAGACATTACATCTGCATGTTCAAGAAATGTTGGCATTCTGAGTCTTTTTGTTGTTGTATTATGACTTGAGTCATTCCCTGGTTTGCAAAGTTCTCTTTCATTGACATTTTGACAACTATTGTGTGGGTGTGTTTTGTGTTCTTTTGTTGATAGTAGAAGAAGCACAAAAGCTTATAGTATGCAATTACATAATTCTGATTTTCTCACCTTAAATAATGATTTGTATCAAACTAATATGTTATATGCTTATAGAGTAACTGATTCCTGTTTCTTTGTTGTTCTTTTTGGTCGGGCCAAAGTGCTGTACATGTAATAATTAATCATTCAAAGACAATCTGGTGTTAAAGACAGTCGACAGGAAGCTACTTCACATCACTTTAAAACAGCACACACACTTCCACCTTTCTTACTTCTCCAGCTCCAACCACTACCTTAAATCAGAGATCACGTTGCTGTCAGCTGTTCTTCCTCTCCAGCATGAAGGTGGCAGTGATCGGCGCAGGGGTTTCTGGTCTGACCAGCATCAAAGCCTGTTTGGATGAAGGTCTGCAGCCCACCTGCTTTGAGAGCAGCCATGACATTGGAGGTCTTTGGAGATTTAAGGTGGGACAATGCATTTATTTGTTACTTATTTTATGCCATACACTGCATAAAAACGAATTGGATTCTTGAAATATGTAGCAATATGCATATCAACATCCTAGTTAATGAGAAAAAAAACATAAAACTCTGAATCTTGTGTTGAAAGTAACTTATTTATCCTAAAAATGTATACATATTTGTATTTTTTAAAACACCTGAGCTGTCATTTACAGTTTATTTGAGAGGGCTCTTAAAGCAATACACATTTGGTTTGATTATATAGCAACCAAACAGTATGTTCAATTATTAATTGTTTTAAAAAAAATCTCCAGGTTCATTTTGAAATCTATAAAGAGAGACTTGGCCTCAACAGTCTTTCTTCTCTGACATCATTACCAAAAACAACGCACGTGCCTTATTTGCTACCGTCGACAGACTAACAAACCCCCCAGTGTCAGTAGCCTCTGAATTTCTATCCACCAGGGCCTGTTAATTAATTAATTTGTCTCCTTCTTCACTGACAAAATTCAGAAAATTAGACAAGCAGTCAGTGCCTCTGTATCAGGTACAGCAAATGTGTTGTCCCTGTGTCCACCTAAAATCAATTCAAACACCATGACACAATTCCATCAGATTAATGATAAAAACCTAGAGGACATTACTCAATTTCTGAAATCCTCCTCCTGCTGCCTTGATATTATTCCAACAGTATTTTTCAAAAATGTTTTTCATTGCATGGCCTCAGATCTACTTCACATAGCAAACAATTCTCTTCACTCAGGTGTTTTTCCACAGGCCCTGAACACTGCAGTCATTAAACCCCTCTTAAAAAAGAATAATCTAGATGCTTCAGTAATGAACAATTACAGGCCCATATCAAACCTCCCATTTCTAGGTAAAATCATTGAAAAAGTTGTTTTTCAACAGTTGAGTAATTTCTTGCATTTAAATAACTGTTTCGATGTGTTCCAGTCAGGCTTTCGTCCAAACCATAGCACTGAGACTGCTCTTGTAAAGGTCTTCAATTACATCCACTTAAACACAGACAGTGGCAGAACTTCAGTGTTAGTATTATTAGAACTTAGTGCTGCGTTTGACACTGTTGACCACAACATATTACTAGACCGACTAGAAAACTGGGTGGGACTTTCGGCAACAGTTCTAAATGGGTTTGAATCCTACTTAAAGGACAGAAAAAACTTTGTTTCTATAGGTAAATAGTATACACATCTGAGTTGACAAATATGACATGAGGGGTACCTCAAGGCTCCATCTTGGGGCCTCTTCTCTTTAACATCTACATGCTACCACTTGCTCAGATAGTGAAAAGTTTCAACAGTCACATTAAAACAGTTACTAAATCAGCCTACTATCACCTAAAGAATATATCTAGGATTAAAAGACTAATGTCACAGCAGGATTTGGAAAAACTTGTCCATGCTTTTATCTTCAGTAGACTCGACTACTGTAATGGTGTCTTTACAGGTCTCACTAAAAAATCTATTAGAAAGCTGCAGCTAATTCAGAACGCCGCTGCTCAAGTCCTCACTAACACTAAGAAAGTGGATCACATCACTCCTGTTCTGAAGTCTTTACACTGGCTTCCTGTCTGTCAAATAATTGATTTCAAAATACTGCTGTTATAAAACTTTGAATGGTTTAGACCCAAAATACATTTCTGACCTACTGCTAAATTATGAACCATCCAGATCTCTCAGGTCTTCAGGGACTGGTCAGCTTTCTGTTCCCGGAGTCAGAACTAAACATGATAAAGCAGCGTTGAGTTATTACCAATGAGTTGAGTTATTATGCTCCAAATATCTGGAACAAACTCCCAGAAACCTGCCGGTCCGCTACAACTCTTACTACTTTTAAATCCAGGCTGAAGACTTTTATTTTTGCCGCTGCTTTTAATTGAACTATTAATATCTTAAACTGCACTGTAACTTTTATCCATGTATTTTTTATTCTTTTAATGTTTATTTTATTATCTTTGCTTTTTAATGACTGTTTTTAAATGCCATTTTCTTAATGTCTTCATTTTTGTAAAGCACTTTGAATTGCCTTGTGTTGAAAGGTGCTATATAAATAAACTTGCCTTGCCTTGCCTTTTATTTAACATAATTTAAACAAGAACATGTGCATTTGTAGAAGCACTGAAGCTTTTTAATGATAATATATAGAAAATACTTCATAATAACACTGTTAATGATAGACTTCCCTTTAAGTTGCTTACACCAGAAATCAAGCAGGGAACTAGTTTTAGTAAGCTTTTTATTTGTTATTTTATACAAAACACTTAAATAATTTCCCCTTGAATTTTCCCACTCGAAATTCATCAGGGGAAATGTGAAATCATTTTCATACTCCAGTGACAGTAAATGTCATTTATTTGCTGTGACAGTTCAATCCCAGACAAAGTGAAATGATAATAAAAGCATGTCTCTATACTGTCTGTATTCTGTCTTCCTGCAGGAGAAGCCAGAGCCTGGACGTGCCAACATCTATCAGTCGGTGGTCATCAACAGCTCCAAAGAGAAGATGGCCTTCAGTGACTTCCCTCCTCCAGCTGACCTCCCCAACAACATGCACCACTCTGAGGTGCTGCAGTACATCCGCCTGTATGCTCAGGCCTTCAACCTGCTGCAGAACATACACTTTAAGGTCGGTGATCTTAAGGATTAAATGTAAAGACGATTATAAACTGATGTATCTTTTCTGTATGGAATTTACCATATAGGCCTGCCCAACAGGTCGCTAACTACAATAATCTTACTCATTATGCGACTCAAAAAGACTAAAACTATTTTAGAAAACGTTCAAAAATCTAATTCTGGTTATGGCAAATATACTGGAATGATCCTTAATTTCCCTCCTGAAGGACACAAATACAACGAGTGTGTTTCCTTTTTTAAGGTCAATGTCGCTAAAATCTTAAATTTTTAAGCCAGTTTTGTCACTATTTATAAGCAATATGCATAACATTTGAATCATTCATAGTAAAAGTAAAAAAATTGTTAGCAGAATGACATTACTTAACATTAATTAGTGCTGTCCGTATAAACCAAATATGCAAATGAAAAAGTGCATAGATTAGTTATTTACCATTTATTTAATGTGTTTTTACTGCTTATGAGTGTTAGAAGAGGGGCCTGTTACCAATCATTGTAATAAATAAATGTAAAATACCTTGAGAATATTCACAACTGTTTTCATTTTTTTCTCAGACGTCTGTGTTGAGTGTGAGGCAGACTCCTGATTTTGCTGCGACAGGCCGGTGGGAGGTAGAGACGGAGATGACAGAGGGGCCGAGGGAGACGCATGTTTTTGACGCAGTTATAGTTTGCACTGGACACTTCACCCATCCTCACCTGCCACTCAGTGACTTCCCAGGTAACAGGAATCATTATTGACTTTAACATTTAACATAGACACAATTCCAACTCCACAGGAGACACACATTCAATGCTCTTCAACAAAGGGTTTGAGGATAACAGACATGTTTTTATTCCATCTCAGGTATTGAGAGTTTTGAAGGCAGGTATTTCCACAGTTGGGATTATTGCAACGCTGAGGGTCTGCAGGGGAAGAGAGTGGTGGTGATCGGGATTGGAAACTCTGGAGGTGATATAGCTGTAGATATCAGTAGAGTTGCTGAGAAGGTACAATAATAAACCTTATTTCTGTACATTTATTAATTTTTCTAATTATGCATATTCATAAATCCTAACCCTCTCTGTGCTGACAGGTGTACCTCAGTACCAGGAGCGGAGCGTGGGTTGTGGGTCGTGTGGGGCAGGGGGGGCTTCCAGGCGACATTGTTGGGACTTCACGACTGGATATGATGATACAGGAGCTCTTCCCTTCGTGGGTCAGCAGGATGGTGGAGAAGAAGCTCGATGAAGCATATGACCACAAACTATATGGTCTGAAACCAAAACATGGGTAATAAGATGCGTTGGTTAAACTTATTTATTTCTCTGTTGGTTAAATGTTTTTGTGAAGTAATTATTACTCAAAATGTACATTCCATTCTGCAATGCTTCAGACTTAAATTATTTTTTCACCCCTTTAAGTCTAACCAGTGGGGTTAACATGTAAAGTTGGAATGAGAAGAAAACCTAGAAGTCTTCAAGTAAAGTCTGAACTCAACATTACAATAATTATGTAAGCACCCGTGCACCACACTTGTTGGGACAGTTTTTTTGCACAGATCGCCGTTGTGAGTGACGACCTGCCAGCTCGGATCCTCTCAGGTCGGGTTCAAGTGAAACCGAATGTGAAGGAGTTCTGTGGGTCCAGTGTGGTCTTTGTTGATGGGAGCATAGACGAGGTGTGTATTAGTGCAATTTTTTGAGTATGTATCAGATATTTTGTTATACATTGTAGAATTATTGTTGCATTCAGTACTGGGATATGGCAGCATCATTTTTTGAGTTTCTGCCTACTTTACTTGATTTCCATCATGTTGTTATGGTTTACATTCTGATTATTAAAATGAAAGAAAACGAAGTAACTAATTGCTCAATTAATGTGTGTGTGTAAACATCATAACGTCATACAGGTGGATGTAGTGGTGTTTGCCACAGGGTACAACTACAGCTTTCCCTTCCTGCCCTCAGCTCTGCAGGCTAAATCTGGTTACCGGCTGCGTCTCTACAAACATGTGTTCCCTGCTGCTCTGAGCCAGCCTACTCTGGCAGTGGTGGGATTTATCAACGGCATTGGATCCATCACTCCACTGTCTGAGATGCAGGCCCGCTGGGTTACAAGAGTGTTCAAAGGTGAATAACAGCACTCAAACTAACCATTACTTTAATGCTCACATCTATTGAGAATCCTGTAAAGAAGGCCAGGGTCTTCAGGAAACCTAACAAAAAATTAGGGTTAAGACCACAGTTATAACCTTAACTGATTTATTTTTGTCCAGGCTTATCGGCCCTCCCCTCAGAAGAGGCAATGAATAAGGAAATTGAAAAAGACACAGAAACAATGCATCAGAGGTAAGACATAAGTGAATTAATTATAGATCAATTTTTTGTAAATGTTCCTGATCACAAATAATTCATTTCACTATTGTAATTTTCTTTCAATTGTGTAATTGTTAGAGTCAAATCACGTCCCCAAATTGTCAAGTTACAGTTTTTTCTATTTTATAGATAATGGCCTAAATGTTGTAGTCCGTACAGTAAATGTGTGTTATGATCTCAGTTCATTATATAATTACTTCACCCATGACCAATACATTTCACATCATTCAAGATTGCTTTGAAGCACTTCCCAAGTCCATATTTCTTCTTCCCTCTGTTAGTTTTGCCTGCTCAGAGCGTAACCCCCTCCAGGTCAACTTCATCCCTTACCTGGACTTTGTGGCAGAGCAGGTGGGGGTGCGACCCAACATACTGTGGCTCATGCTGAAGGACCCCAGACTGGCGCTGCAGGTTTTGCTGGGTCCCTGCACTCCTTATCAGTACCGTCTGTCCGGCCCGGGCCAGTGGGACGGAGCCCGTGATGCCATCCTAACTCAGTGGGAGCGGGTGCTCCAGCCTTTCAGGACCAGGGTGGTACCAGAACCAGAGACCAGACCCTCGTCTAGACGGAGCGCCATAGTGATACTCTCAGGTGCCGCGCTGCTTTACTGCTTCTTGTACAGGAAACACCTTACCTCCTCTTTCTTTTCTTCTCCGTTATTCTTCAGGTCTCTTAAGTAACCTGCATAATCATTGGCACACAATGATAACATGAGGATGCAGGCAGCAGTGAAGCATCACACTACATCACATTCTCTGTCTTACATTTCTTTAGACAGAGCATGTGTTTAGACTGCACCAATTTGACAATGTAAATGAGAAATAAAGTTTTTCTTGGTTTAGTCTGTTTTGCATACATAATGTTTGTTCATTTTGCCAGTTTTTGTAACTTTCATAGCAATAACTTGAGAGTGTAATGGAAATAATGATTATCAAAGAATTGAAATCTATATTGTTGTATACATAATAATATTCTGTAAGACTTATATGTCAAAAGATAGTAGATCAATGTAGTTGAGATCTCATCACTCAGGTAGATGAGGTGTCATGTGACCACACATTGGGTGACCAGTGATCTGATCATGGGTCTATTGTGTCATGGGTCAGTTATCTCATGACTAAGCATGTATTCATTGAAACTGTGTGAAAGCAGACTCCTCAGTTTGAGTAGTTGCACTCGGCTGTAGAGACATTAGCTTTCTGTATGCTGCGTTGCCTCTTTTGCAAAAGATTATTAAAGACTCAGAAGGACATCTCTTTGACCCGTTCATTGCCAGAATTAAGAGTCTAAAAAATAACAATATCTAATATAGAAACCATTCTGCACCTTAATCTTAGTCTTCTAGTGTTATGTGATATTATGTGAGGTCATCAAATATGTTATATGATATGGGTAAGCCATTTTAAATAAAACTAAATATTGAATTGAAACCAGCAGATGGAGACACAAGCCAAAAGCAGATATTTACCTGCTGACTACAGTTCAAACATAAACACCTGTAACCGCTGAATTTATACCTGTTGGTAAATGCATTTTTTATCAGGAAAATACGTTTTTATTTGATTATGTTCAGCTCAATCATACCTTTTATTATTTAGTGTTTTATTTATTATGATTATTAGATTGTAGATGGCCCCCTCTTGGCTAACTGGGTGATATACCAATGGGCCTTAGACTGCCTTGGCTTCCCATCAATGTATAACTATTGGAGGTTTAGCCCATAAATTAAGCTAGGTGCACCATCACATTCCTTTATGTAAAGGTCAAGACATTTGCAATGATATGGTTTTACTGTCTGTCTGCCTTTTAACCATGACTGGACTACATACATACATGTTAAAGTTAAAAAAATCAGTGTTCTCGAAAGGTACAGGCTATGTGAATCACACTATGTATACCTAATTTACTTTTATCCTCTATCCAGAGTAAGAACAACCATAAGTCTTACCACAAAACGTTTTTGCTTTTAACATTAACTCTGCCAATGGTCGGTCTAGCCAGTGTGGATATTATCTACTCTGGACTGTGGACTAGGCCTATGGTCTGAGATAAAGATTGATTGACAGGCATTAGCTGGCTGACAGCCGGTTGGTTATGTTCCATTAACTTATTTAAACCTAATGAATACTAAGAATCAACATGATAGCGCCCCCTCACTGTTAAATGTAGAATACAGTACGTTTTTTTCGAGCAGATGTGCAGAGAGTTAGCTTTTCCACTAGTTCATGAACACTGACGGTGCGAAGATCAGGGTCTCTTCGGGATACTAATATCTGAGCCCAGGCATTCACTCTTACTCCGCCGTGAGGTTCATGCAGCACGAAAAAGACGTTTCCTTCTCCGAATAGCAAAAGGTAAGAAGATGCATCTGCAGAAACATATATTCAGCTGTAATCTTTGAGTAGGCTTTATTCATGTTTAGAGTTTATTTACGTTTGTAAATGCTATTATGTGACGGTTGTTGTCCCCGCCCATGCAGAGTTTTAGTAAACAACACGTCTTTAGTGAGATTCAAGTTTAGTTGTTAATGCATTTAGTTGGGTAACGCAGTGGTAGCATTTAAACCTTTGTTAAAACAAGTAGCTACATATTTACCAGTGATGAACTTTGATAATGGTTAATCATTAAACGTGTGGCACAGATCCACACGTAGAAAAATATCCCCACGTCTCCAAGTAAACTAAAGGGCAGAAGAGTATCCCAAATATAATTAAAATTACATTTTCAGAAAGAAATAGCCAGACTTCCTTACAGAGCCCCTCCTCCAACACACACGAACGCGCACATGACCAATGAGGCCACGAGAAAGTTTGTGCACGAGATGGAAGGCTGACAGGCAGGTAGGCCATCCAGTTATTTTAGCACTACGGCTTCCACATTTTTAAATGTATTTATTGTCAAAGCATTTCATATATTCATTGCTATCGGGATGTTAAGAGCATTCCATGGAATATAACAAAAAGTGTTTCTGAAATAAATGACATACCCCACCTTTAAGTACGTTTTGGCACCACATTTTTACTCCACTTCCTTTATTTTAACTATCAGTTACTTTGTACATAACACATGATAGGCTGATATTATATAATGCAGTCCTGTAGAACTAATCTGACAATATTTCAAGTATCATAACATTTACAAACTACAAAATTAAACAGCTTTTGTATAAAAACGGGATAATATAACAACCATAATAATATCAATCTCAGAAAACTTTTATTTTTGATAATTGAAGAACATAATTCAATACTTCTGTAGGCTACTCTATATTATTCTGAAATGGGTCTTTGTGCAGACTGAGTAGGTCTAAGTAGTACACCTTTGAAGTCAGGACTTCCCGTTGTGTTTAGCTTCATACTTTTTTGTGAACAGATCAAATATTTTTCAGACCAATCTGGTTAATCCTTTACAGAGCTGAAGTATGACTCGTCGAGTGGCAGTGATTGGAGGAGGGAGTTCAGGTCTGGCCTGTATCAAGAGCTGTCTGGATGAGGGTCTGGAGCCTGTCTGCTATGAAAACAGTGATGACATTGGTGGTCTGTGGAGGTTTAAGGTTGGTCACAGTATCATACAAAGCATTTTCCTTTAATTCCCCAGTTTATTAAGTAAAATAGGATGAGAACTACTTGGTGTTTTATATTGCAGGAGAATCCAGAGCCAGACAGGGCCAGCATCTACCACTCTGTCACCACCAACACCTCCAAGGAGATGATGTGTTTTAGTGACTTCCCCATCCCTGCGAACTTCCCCAACTACATGCACAACTCCCTCATCATGGACTACTTTCGGATGTATGCTGACCACTTCCAGCTCACCAAGCACATACGCTTCAATGTGAGGATGCTGCACTGACATGCTTATATTGCATAATTCAAGATTTCAGCATATACATCTTATCTGTGTCTGCCTCCCTGTTTTTAGACCAAAGTATTGCAGGTGAGGCAGAGATCTGATTTTGCTCATTCAGGCCAGTGGGATGTTGAGATGGAAAACAAGGATGGCAAAACGGAGAAACACATTTTTGATGCTGTGATGATCTGTATTGGACATCACTGCCACCCAAACTTGCCGCTACATGACTTCCCAGGTACCATTTACAGGCTACAAATATGATTTAGTTTACTCGGGGACAAGTAGTGCTGATAGTGTTCCGGCAGTATAAAAAGGAAGTGTGATTTCACAATGAACCTTTGACACAGTCTGAACAAGCCTGTAATGGCAACCCTGTTCAACCCTGTGTGGTTATGTAATCACTGTATCAACAGAAACCAGCACTACCCAAATAGAATAGGGTTGTCAGTATATTAGTCCCAACCTTGGCCTAAATTATATCCCTAGAGAAAAGCTTTAAAATATACTTAATAAACAGATAAAGTCCTCTTGTATCAAAAGTAGAGAGGCACTTTGTCAAGCAGATACAAACCTTTCTTTTTTTCTCTCTTACAGGAATTGACACTTTCGAGGGAACTTATTTCCACAGCAGAGACTACAAGACCCCTGAGGAGTGGAGGAATAAAAAGGCTGTAGTTATTGGAATAGGAAACTCTGGAGGAGACATCGCCGTGGAACTGAGCAGAGTCACCAAGCAGGTGTGGATGAGATTGTTACATAGAAACTTTTCTATCAGACGAGATAGCATTTTAATCACCAACTTCATTGATAAGATCAAGGGATAGTATGTTATCATGCAAGGTAATGTGTGTGTGATTTCATGTGGTGAGCTGACTGGGTCATGTGGAGATCAAGTTGACATCACATTGATTCATTTAAAGTTGACTTGATTTTTCCTACACTTGACATCTCTACAAAGACTTAAAGTCAAGTCACAAGACATGACAGAGGTTGTTGCTTTTGTCAGAAACTGTAAGACAAACTTGTTATCTTTTGAATATCTTTGATCAAATAACTTTCACAACAATCATTAACAGCTTTGCAGCAAAGCAGTCAGACGATCAAACAATGTGTATAAAAAAGTCCACAGTTCAACCATAAACCAAACCATTTGGAAGTTAAAGGGGACCTATCATGCAAAATGCACTTTTGTACGTCTTTTATACATGAATATGTGTCCCCGGTGTTCCAGGGAGCTCACCAAGTGTCAGAAAACACAACCCTCTCTATTTTCCTCCATACCCAAATCTCTAAAAAAAAGGGGCTGCAACGGATCTGATAAAAACTGATCCAGATTTGAACACTGTCCTGACGTCAGGACGGTGGCGCTACGGCTATTGGGCCAACTCCACCAATCAGGAGCAGACAGCCACGGCCATTGCCGTTCGAAAGCGCTGGAGACGCTGTAGTACATACGCCAGGCCTGTAGGTGGTGCTGTTCTCACATAATCAGCCCTTGCAAAAACAGGGCTAAAAAAGTGCAAATTTAGCTAATGGCTAAAATATGCATGATCTGTTTGGTATTTTGAAAAAAAAAAAGTATAAATATACCTTATATAGGTATGGTCCTACACTATATTATTAAAATATAGCATGATAGGTCCACTTTAAATTAAAGATTAATGTGAGTTTTTAGTGTTTTTCTTGCGTATACTACATTAAACTACATTTAATTATGTTGAACCAGGTTGTCGTTCTGCAACATATTTTGGGTTGTGTTAGTGGTAAAATGCACAGAGTTAAAGGTGGGGTAGGTAATTTTGGAGAAACCAGCTCGAGTGCGCTAGAATTTGAAAATACACAACTGGAAAAAATCTGCCACTTCCTTACAGAGCCCCTCCTCCAACACACACGAACGCGCACATGACCAATGAGGGCACGAGATAAGTTTGTGCACAGATGGAAGGCTGACAGGCAGGTAGGCCATCCAGTTATTTTAGCCGGGCCGGCTAAAATGATTGGTCGTGCTTTTTACAGTGCTACGGCTTCCACAGATGAAATATTTTTATGGATTTTTTGTCAAAGCACTTAAGATATTCATTGCTATCGGGATGTTAAGAGCATTCCATGGAATATAACAAAAAGTGTTTCTGAAGTAAATTACCTAACCCACCTTTAAGTGAAATAATGTAAAACTAAATGTATTTTAAACAACCTGCTACATTACTATATTAATAGATTCGGTATTAAAATGTTGCGTATACTGTAAAGAATTCTAACATGACTCCAAAAATACTGACTGCCATGTTCTCTATTTCCAGCTTTACCTCAGCACTCGAAGAGGAGCCTGGATTATGAACCGAGTCGGGGACAATGGGTTTCCCCTTGATTTGCATTTTAACAGAGTGCTAGATTTTCTGCGGCTCATCCTTCCCTTTGGTGTATATTGTGGTCTAGGAGAGAGACAGCTCAACCAAAGATTTGATCACACTCTGTACAATCTTAAGCCAAAGCACAGGTAATGTATTTGCATCTGTTTTTCTACCTTTTTAACATAGCTTGACATGCTTACATATCCTAGGTGCACATTCATACCTTTGGTCTTATTTTAATTAAAAGTGTTTGCAGTATGCATGTTATTGTATAACATAACTCACCAGCGTAAATATTAATCTCAGGTTGTTCAGCCAACATCCCACAGTGAATGATGAGCTTCCCAACCGCATCCTATCTGGAACAGTTCAGGTGAAACCCAACATCCGCAGGCTTCAGGGGTCCAGTGTGGAGTTTGATGATGGAAGTGTTGTGGAAGATGTCGACCTGGTGGTAAGTGTTTCCGGTATACACACACTGACAGACTCACACACAATCTACAGTCACAGTCTATTCTGTCCTTTCTAAGATGAGTCCCCATTCTTGCAGGTGTTTGCCACAGGTTACAGGTTTTCCTTTCCATTCCTGGCCTCCCATGTGACCTCAGTTTCTGGGAACAAAGCATCTCTGTACAAGTATGTGTTTCCTCCTGAGTTGGAACGCCCCACTCTGGCTATCATTGGTCTAGTGCAGCCACTGGGAGCCATTATGACCATATCTGAGATGCAGGCCAGATGGGCCACACGTGTCTTTAAAGGTAATACAGGTTCTGTACAAATATTTTCAAGAACTTTCTTGAGAACTCCTTCCTTTACACAGAGTACAAGAAGCCAAATCACTCACCCTGGCTCTCATTGTAAACAGGCTGCACCAAGCTTCCCTCAGTGGCTTCCATGCTAAAAGATGTCCAGTGCAAGCAGGAGACAATGGCCAAAAGGTAGAATAGTGATTTTCTTTACTTTACAATGGTTTATTTTGAATTTTGAAGGAAACAAATCTTGTTATGCACAAAATATTTATCACCAGTCTTTTTTTCAGGTATGTCCCCAGTCAGAGACACACTATCCAGGTCGACTATCTCAACTACATGGATGAGATCGCAGGACTGTTGGGGGTTCGACCCAACATCCCCAGGCTGCTGCTGACTGATCCCAGGCTGGGATTGAAGGTGCTGTTCGGACCCGGTACTCCGTACCAGTATCGTCTCAAAGGGCCAGGGAAATGGGCTGGAGCCCGTCAGGCCATCTTCACTCAGTGGGAGAGGGTGGCTCAACCCATGCAGACCAGGCCCTGTGATGATCCCAAAACCAAGAGATCCTTCATGTGGCCTCTGATTCTGTCTGCTGCTGTGGTGGGCTGGGCTGCCTACGTCAACAGGAACAACTTTCCAGCATACCTGCAAGACCCCACCGCTCTGCTGGACAAGATGAAAGTTTACCTGCTTGCACAGTGATGAGGAAATCATTCTTGTTCCATCTCAGCACTTTTTACAAACCTTTAAGATGTTCATGCACATTTTACACTATGGTATCCCATCTCCTGAAATGGGCAATACACGAACATTCATTAGTTAATCATCCCACACACAACTACTACAAACGTCTGCCTTTAAACAGTTGTGTTTTTCTGAGTAAAAAACGCTGAATGGCGTCATTAATTTGGCAAAGTGTATCCAATATATATATTTTTTTATTTACACTAAATGAATAAGAACAAAATGTAACTAAAATAAAAGGGCTCAGTGAGAATAATTCATCATGTATTTTGAATGTGTCTGAGAGGCAATGTTGCTACATTTAAATATTTGTTTTATTTTTATAACCAGTTGTATTAATATAAGCTTTTCAATTTACTTCTCGACTCACGACTCAATTCACATGCAGATTTCTCCGAACATGTGCTTTCAACAGAATAGATGTCTATGTTAGCACATCATTCTTTTTAACCTTATTCAACAATAAAACGAATGGATTAACTTTCATTATATTCCTGGCAAGAGACTAGAGTTTCTAAAACACAGTCTACTGTATGATTGTTTAACTAAAAAGGCAAATCAGAGGGCTGGAACTTTTTTATAATTTCCTTATTATCTTTTAATAAAACTTAATAAATGTTCTTAGCAATTAAATGTTTGGTTATTGATGTTTTTTGTAAACACAGCACTAAAGCATGACTTTATCTAAAATGTTGTTCAGATGAAAAGATAAGAACAGATTTGATCTAAAGGTCCCCTTTTAAAATAAAGTATGCCCCTAGCTCTCACCTGTGACAGTGGTCCAATTCGAACCTTTTGAACAATATTGTTGTAAAATCCAACTTTAAGTGAATCAAAAATATCTGTTGGGCCTCTCGAGATTAATAATACCGTGTGTTAAAATGAAATGAAATGAATTATATTAATTAATCTACAGGCATTATTACACCAGGTATATCCTGAGTTATAGGCCCAGCATACCCAGCATTGTAATGATTATGACAAAAGTGTCAATGATACATTTGAAACTAGACTAAAGGGTCATGCTTTATTGTTCTGCAAATACAATATGTATATGTATTAACCTTAAGGGACCTTTGAGTGCAGTGGGTTGTCCATGCCGGTACCAACTAAAGTCAGACTAAAGGTCAGCTGAATTTAATCCACACTTTTGCTCCATCTGCTCTCTGCAACAGTGAGTTCTTTTGAGTTTGCATCACAACAGGTAAGAGATTTGCAGGATTGATTGGACAATTGGATTTGGTTGATTTGTTTTTTTAATTCCCACTGTCAGTTTTGTTTCTCATTATAATAATACATTTGATTTATTTTCTTTAGTTGATTAAGCAAGTTGGGTTTCACTTTGCTTTTCGAAGAATTCAGATTTGTAATCATTTCAATGAATCTGATTAACCTGCAAAATTCATAACAAGTCTAAAAATATATGTATCGCAACTTTTCAGAAATGTGCTCTTTTTACTTTTTACATCTGTTTATACATTTTCATACATTTGATTTATTACATTTAATTGTCAGGGACAATGTACCGGTGAAATGCATCTTATTAAAAGGGCAGAGTTTTATAGTACCAGGTTTAGCTACTAGCTAATTTTCACCCATTTACAAACACATCTTAGTGTCTTTATACTGCGTGTGTTGTTGACCAGTGGTTTGATTTATACAACTGTTTTAAAAAGCATCCCCCTAAATAAAGAGAAGGAGTCTTTACATTAGAATTCTGAAGAGGATTTTAACCATAAATTAAGGAAACGCTCAGGAACTGCATCAGGTCTCTATAAATTGGTACAAACAGCAATCAACAGATCAGTACATTCAGGTCATCCGTTGAGTTCATTCACATTTATGACCATTGTTATATTTCCTTCGAACTGTTCTTCGACATTTTATAATATCAGATAAACATAAACTTATGATGAAATGTGCAAAACAGAGTGGTGCAGGGATGACTTATTTAACAAAACTTTTATAATTGTTGAAGTGTTAATACGCTAACACTTTGAGCAACCATTGTTTTTATTCACCATTGGGTGTTAACTGACTAATTTTATGTTGTAGAACAAAATATGAAAATCTCTTAAAGGTGGGGTAGGTAAGTTTGAGAAACCGGCTCGAGATACACTTTTTGTTATATTCCATGGAATGCTCTTAACATCCCGATAGCAATGAATATATTAAGTGCTTTGACAAAAAATCCATAAAAAAATGTCATCTGTGGAAGCCGTAATACTGTAAAAAGTACGACCAATCATTTTAGCCGGCCCGGCTAAAATAACTGGATGGCCTACCTGCCTGTCAGCCATCCATCTGTGCACAAACTTATCTCGTGCCCTCATTGGTCATGTGCGCGTTCGTGTGTGTTGGAGGAGGGGCTCTATAAGGAAGCGGCAGATTTTCTCCGGTTGTGTATTTTCAAATTCTAGCGATCTCGAGCCGGTTTCTCAAATTTACCTACCCCACCTTTAAGCTTATGTTATCCAAATACCTTATGTCAGGCATCTAACCAAGTACACAGTCAACAAAACTTGTCCAGGCCAATCTGGTTCATCCTTTACAGAGCTGAAGTATGACTCGTCGAGTGGCAGTGATTGGAGGAGGGAGTTCAGGTCTGGCCTGTATCAAGAGCTGTCTGGATGAGGGTCTGGAGCCTGTCTGCTATGAAAGCAGCGATGACATTGGTGGTCTGTGGACATTTAAGGTGGGTACACCACATGCTGATTGGACCTTTGTATAGTAAAGAGTAGAAGAGTTGGGATGAATATATTCCATCTTCGTGGCTGTTATTGCAGGAGAACCCAGAGCCAGACAGGGCCAGCATCTACCACTCTGTCATCATCAACACCTCCAAGGAGATGATGTGTTTCAGTGACTTCCCCATCCCTGCACACTTCCCCAACTACATGCACAACTCCCTCATCATGGACTACTTTCGGATGTTTGCTGACCACTTCCAGCTCACCAAGCACATACGCTTCAATGTGAGGATTACAGTACCTCAATCTTAAATGTAAATTTGAGTTGACTGTCAGTAGGTGCATCTCTATGAACACCTATTTTATCTATGTCTGCCTCTCTGTTTTAGACCAAAGTATTGCAGGTGAGGCAGAGATCTGATTTCTCTCATTCAGGCCAGTGGGATGTTGAGACGGAGAACAAGGATGGCAAAACGGAGAAACACATTTTTGATGCTGTGATGATCTGTATTGGACATCACTGCCACCCAAACTTGCCGCTACATGACTTCCAAGGTACCATTTATGGGCTTTAAAATGTTTTAACTCAAGGACATTTGGTGCTCTGGAAAATTATTTCAACCAATTGTACGATATTAGGGTTGAACCTTTATCACATCACAGTTATAAATAATGTTATCTTCAGTTTTGCCCTGTGGGAAATTGGTTTTAGAAGAGATTCAGTGATTTATAATGTTGCCGACTTCTACATATAAGTAGCTCCCAACCTTTTTTGTCGTGACCCCTTAAAATGAGTCGACTTGCCACCTTTTGTCACAGGTAGAAAAAGTAATTTTATTGTGAGAACAGGATTACATTCTCATTTGTCATCCAGTGTATGAAATCACCCAATATCATTGTATTAAAGAACCATTGTTCTGCCGCACAAGTAAAACAAAAGTTTTAAAAATGAATGAATTTAATGTTAAAAATGTAATACATTTTGTCTGAATTTAAATTCCAGGGATTGACACTTTCAAGGGAACGCATTTCCACAGCAGAGACTACAAGACCCCTGAGGAGTGGAGGCTGTAGTTATTGGAATAGGAAACTCTGGAGGAGACATCGCCGTGGAACTGAGCAGAGTCACCAAGCAGGTTGGGAAAATAGATGATAAGAGTCATATGATTTGATTCCCTAACCTTAATACAATACAGGCATGATGATGTACTTCCTCTATATTTACAGGTATATCTGAGCACTCGGAGGGGAGCTTGGATTGCAAATCGAGTTGCAGACAATGGTCTTCCCCGTGATATGCTGTACAGCAGAATGACAAATATTTTGCGCCGAATGCTTCCCTTTGGATAAAACTTGACAACAGATTTGATCACAGTTTGTACAACTTGAAGCCAAAGCTATGGCAGCAACAGCATAGCTTAAAGGTGGGGTAGGTAATTTCGGAGAAACCAGCTCGAGTGCGCTAGAATTTGAAAATACACAACCGGAGAAAATCTGCCACTTCCTTACAGAGCCCCTCCTCCAACACACACGAACGCGCACATGACCAATGAGGGCACGAGATAAGTTTGTGCACAGATGGAAGGCTGACAGGCAGGTAGGCCATCCAGTTATTTTAGCCGGGCCGGCTAAAATGATTGGTCGTGCTTTTTACAGTACTACGGCTTCCACAGATGAAATGTTGTTATGGATTTTTTGTCAAAGCACTTAAGATATTCATTGCTATCGGGATGTTAAGAGCATTCCATGGAATATAACAAAAAGTGTATCTCGAGCCGGTTTCTCAAACTTACCTACCCCACCTTTAATCCAACACGTGGCTTTTTTTTCAACATGTTTATTATTGAAATGCTAGAAGTTTTACATATCGGTCTGAAAATAAATCTCAGGTTGTTCAGCCAACATCCCACAGCGAATGATGAGCTTCCCAACCGCATCCTTTCTGGAACAGTTCAGGTGAAACCCAACATCCGCAGGTTTCAGGGGTCCAGTGTGGAGTTTGAGGAGGGAAGTGTTGTGGAAGATGTCGACTTGGTGGTAAGTGTTTTGTGCATACACACTTGCACACTCACACATACTCACAATCAGTCTTTTCTTCTGTCCTGTCTGAGATGAGTCCCCGGTCTTGCAGGTATTTGCCACAGGTTACAGGTTTTCCTTGCCATTCCTGGCCTCCCATGTGACCTCAGTTTCTGGGAGATCTCATCACTCAGGTAGATGAGGTGTCATGTGACCACACATTGGGTGACCAGTGATCTGATCATGGGTCTATTGTGCCATGGGTCAGTTATCTCATGACTAAGCATGTATTCATTGAAACTGTGTGAAAGCAGACTCCTCAGTTTGAGTAGTTGCACTCGGCTGTAGAGACATTAGCTTTCTGTATGCTGCGTTGCCTCTTTTGCAATAGATTATTAAAGACTCAGAAGGACATCTCTTTGACCCGTTCATTGCCAGAATTAAGAGTCTAAAAAATAACAATATTTAATATAGAAACCATTCTGCACATTAATCTTAGTCTTCTAGTGTTATGTGATATTATGTGAGGTCATCAAATACATGTTATATGATATGGGTAAGCCATTTTAAATAAAACTAAATATTGAATTGAAACCAGCAGATGGAGACACAAGCCAAAAGCAGATATTTACCTGCTGATACAGTTCA